GAGAGAGAGAGAGAGAGAGAGAGAGAGAGAGAGATTGAGTGGATTTTTGGAGTGGATTGAGTGGACACCTCGTTTTTGTCACATGGTAATGGTAATGATGAAATTACAATATGATAAAAACTAGATGCTTTTATTTAGAAGGGCAGGTTTTGTAAATTGCATGCAATGTTTATATTAGAAAAACATTATTTCGTATATGATTTAGTAATTCGGGAATTTTGAGTATCAATTGAGAGGACATTGAAATTAGAATTGATTAACATTTGAGAAATGAATGAATAGAAAGAGTTAAGACTATTGACCACCAAATTTCAATCAATTCAAACATAATATCACATTCTTGTAAGAAATAGTGGAAATTTTATCGTTTATTTATAGTGATTGACGTAAATTGAAATGTATTTGTTTTGCTATCAAATTAAAATACCATTATTTACTCCTATTATGACATCTTTGGTGTTGTCTTATCTCTTCTATATATTGAACATCACTTTGCGATCACTTTATTAGTTATCGAAGAGTCGAGAAATGCATCGAAACAGCAATTGTATTGTCAGTTCTAACCCCGGTTTCAGAACCGTGTCGTCGAGCGTTCAAATCTCTTAAAACTGTGTTTATTTTTATTTTGTAAAATTTAATGGAAACTTTAATTCAATGATTAAGCAATCGGGATATCACGTGAATTATGCGCCGGTGCGACAGATAAGGACCAGTTATCGGGGCAATGATGAGAGAACGCCACTGATTAATGGCAATTGTTTGCCATCCAATCCCCACATGCCTTCCTATAATACACTGTAAGAGACTTTGAGTGATACATGTATTTAGTCACTAACTTTTGACGAACACTAATTTGTTGTTTGTCTAAACTTTGACTGCATTTTAATAAACAAAATCTCGACAAACATTTTTATTAGTAATAATTCAAACAGCGATTCACTTAAATCGGACTCCATTTACGAGATGGACGTCGAAGAACGAGCTAAGAATGGCTCTAAACTTAAGTTTCTTAAGACTATATTACTCGCCGCTCTCATCATTTACACACTCGTAAGCCATCTCTTATTTGCTTTCATTTTATAAATTGTTGTTTTAATGACAGAAAATATTATTTTAAACTTTTTATCGCAAATATTGCAATAAAATAGAGTTAAAATCGATTGATTGAAGGCTTGTTTACAACTAATATAACTAATATATGCCTACGATTTCTATTAAATAGATAAGCTTTATATTTATACGCGAGAAACACGAGGCCTGGAATAATGTGGCCGTTCAGCAAAATGCACCCGTTTTTGTCGACCTGTCGGAGAGTCTGGACCTCATGTTTCCCGTATGGAAACTGAAGGCTCGATCGACGTTCGTGTCGAACGAATACGCGAACCTAACCGACTATGAGGTCCGCTTCTCCATCATTAGGATCACTGAAGACAACGTAAAGTCGGTGATGAAAGGGCCGTGGATTGCGCCCATCGCTCCCAACTTTCTATCGCTAGAAGTGGGCAGTCATGAAGTGGAGCACACATTTGTGGTCAATAAAGAGGACCATTACGACGACGACGATCACTATCAGCTCCGCATTGAGACCAATCTCGAAGAATCGGCCGGAATATCAATCAATATTTCGGGCTTTTCCGAGCTATCACTGGACGGAATTCTATTGGCTTCGGCTGTTCTTATCTTTCTGTATGTTTTGATTATCTTTGAAGTCGTGAACCGAACGCTGGCGGCTATGATCGGCGCCACCGCTGCCATCACTTGCCTCACGCTTATAAGAGATGTAATTAACAATATCTGATAATTTAATATACAAAATGATCATTATTTTATTTATTGTCTAATAGCGACCATCGCTTGAAAAAGTGGTTTCATGGCTTGATGTGGAGACCCTATGTCTTCTGTTCGGAATGATGGTTCTCGTGGCCATACTCTGCGAAACCGGATTCTTTGATTATGTCTCTGTTTTGGTAAGAATTGTTTTTTTTAAATTGTTTTTTATTTTCAAATGTATATAATTTAAATGGAAAATATTAAGATATTATTGATTTGATTTGATAATGAAATGTGTTGTTAAGTACTGAATAAGTACTGTAATGAAGAGCAATGAAAAGCAAAGAAATACATATAAATATCATCCTTGAGTTGAGTGTAACTAACATTTAATCCGAAATTCTTATCATTTCATATATTTTCCTACATCTTGTATACCAATTGATTGTATCTCATAAGACTCACTAAAACTGATGATAAGAATTTATACAAAATATTAATCTTTATTTTCGCAAACAA